AGCTGCCTCGGACTTTTACTCTGTTGACTACTACCTTTGTGTTCTGTTTGTGAGGAAATAAGATCCATCGACCAACTTTTCCTGTTATTCCTTTAGCACGCTTTTGTGCGCTATTACGCCATGTTACACTTGTCGAAGGCTTTTGCAAAGTCTGTATATATTACATCTGCATTCTTTTTGTCTTCTAGTGCATCTAGGGCCTTGTCCCTAGTATCCAATAGTTGAGACAGACAGGAGCACCTGTTCTAAACTCATGTTGCCCTGGGTTGTGTAACTGATGGTTTCTAGATGGGTTGATCTTTCTTCTTAGGACCCTTTCAAAGATTTTTATGATATGGGATGTTTAGTGCTATCGTCTGTAGTTCCTTTGCTGTTGCTTACTGCCCCTTTGTGGAGTGGGGCTATGTCTGTGTTTTTAGTAACTGTGGACGACCCCATGTCCAATGCTCCCTCTCCATAGGATGGTAAAAGCTCGTGATAGGGCTTCTTGCAGTTCTTGTGAACACGGAGTTCCATGAACATAAGAACATAAGAATGTAGGAACACTGCAGAAGGCCCACGGCCCATAAAAGGCAGGGCCTGGGCAAGTGCATGGCAAAGTCATTTATCACCTGTTCGAAGTCATTTGGCATCAGGATAACATCAGATAGGCTTGTGTTAACCAAAAATTTTGTGGCCTCTCTCATAAAAAATTGTTTTGATCTTCGACTCTCAGTCTGTGTTGGTGATGTGTGTCTGGTTGGTGACGTGTGTCTGTGTTGGGGACTGTGTCTGTGTTGGTGACGTTTGTCTTGTGTTGTTAATGTTGTCTGTTGGTGATGTGTGTCTATCTGTCTTGGTGATGTGGGTCGTGTTGGTGTCGTGTGTCTATGTTGGTGACGTTTTTCTGTGTTGTGTGTCTGTGTTGGTGATGTGTGTCTTGTGTTGGTGATGTGTCTGTCTTGGTGATGTGTGTTTGTGTCGATGACGTGTGTATGTGTTGATGACGTATGTCCTGTTAGTGACGTGTTCATCTGTGCTGGTGACGTTCGTCCCGTCTGTGTTGATGTGTCTGTGTTGGGGACGTGTGTCCCTTTTGTTGTGACGTGGGCTGTCTCTGTTGGTGACGTGTGTGTCTGTTTATGGTGGGGTGTGTGTTTGGTTGAAAGTGTGGTCTTCTTTGTTGGTGACGTGTGTCTGTGTTTGGTGACGTGTGCTGTCTGTGTTGGTGACGTGTGTCTGTCTTTGTTCGCAATGTGTGGTCTGTCTTTGTTCGTAATGTGTGTCTGTCTTGTTCGTGTGTGTGTCATGTTGGTGATGTTGTCTGTCTCAGTTGGTGACGTGTGTCTGTCTGTTTTGGTGACGTATGTCTGTCTGTGTTGGGGGATATGTGTATGTCTGTGTTTGGGGAGTGTCTGTCTTTGTTTGTGATGTGTGTCTGTTTGGTGACGTGTGTCTGTCTGTGTTGGTGACATGTTAGATGCATCTTATGTTCTGTGTTGCTACCCTATGCTGGCCCTCTAGGTTAAACCTCTATGCCTCTTTTATTGCCGAATGTCACGGAATTCAGTGCATCTGAAGGCAGCAAATCTTACAGCATTCATGCAATAAGTGCCAAACCTGTAGGGGTCAAACAGCACCTAAGGGAAATGGGAGGCAATCAACTTTTATCCAAGGGGAGGGGAAAACCAATTCCTTGAATGAAGATCCCCTTAACATCATCAAATCGTAATTATAAATATAACAGTACTGTATACAGTACCCAAAAAGAGATGCAAGGAGGAGATGCAGCATTACCCCAGTGAAAAGCAGGGATGCCACGAGTACACTGAGAGACAACACAGGAAGTGTCAGGGGCCCAAGATTGTTCAACTACCTCCCAGCATACAAAAGGGGGATTACAAATAGACCTCTGGCTGTCTTCAAATAGGCACTGGACAGGCACACAAAGTCAGTACCTGACCAGCAGGGCTGTGGTTCATCCGTCGGTTTGTATATGACCAACAGTAACAGCTTGGTTGATCAGGTTCTGATTCATGTGTGATGAATGGTTTTGAAAACCGACAAGTTGAAGAACTGAGACACTTATGCAACACATGGGAATCTTTATTGAAGAAACGTTTTGCCACGCAGTGGCTTCATCAGTCTTATACAGAGCAGGAAGGTATAAGGAGAGGAGGAGTTTGAGGTAATCTGTCACTCAGCCTGGAGTCGATGTGTTCAGTCCATCAATCTTGTAGAATGTACAGCATAGGGCCGTAGCAGTGGCTTATATGCTGTAGTCAGGTGAGACGAAGCAGGAGGCGGGGTCATAGTGGAAGCATCCACTAGTCTAAGTAGGTCTTCGTCCAAAGATTGGACAAGTTTTGAAGAATTCTTTGTATCAAGATCTCATGATGATGCAGTGTCTGACATGTGATGAATGGTTTTGAAAACCGACAAGTTGAAGAATTGAGACACTTATGCAACATGAGAATCTTTATTGAAGAAACGTTTTGCCACACAGTGGCTTCATCAGTACAATAGATAACTAACTGTTGTACACATGTTAATTATCAACAAAGAGCCTTCCTTAAGGAAGATGAGGTGGCATGTCTTGGCAGACCAATTAAAAATTTCTCTTTTTGCATGGGAAATTATTGCATTCATGGGGAGCACTACACTCATATTTTATTCATGGGGGAGTGCTAAACCCATAGAGATCCTATAGTACCTGGGGAATGGGAGGCATTCGAGTTCAGTGCAAGGAGGGGGAAGACTGGTCAGATTCCTTGCCCCAGGAGTCTTAACAGTGTCACTGAATCTTCCCTAAGGGGTTTTCATGTGGGCAGGCAGATGGAAAAGTCCTCCTCTGTCTTCATTTGACCCTGATTTTATCTAAGATCAGTCAGATCTTCAAATTATTATAAACAGGTTAAGTTCTAAACTCCCTAAGGGATGAAGCTCAAGGAGAGTGGGAGACAATCAGGATCTTTCTAAATCAGGAAGTATAGGTCCATTTCCTTGGATCAAGAGTCCCACACTGGTAACAACACTAGTTCCTGGCAGTCTATTTTCCACTGATACTGTTCTAGTTGTCAGGGCTCATGCACTTCCGGCATCTGCAATGTCCGTACACATCGACTACTGCCCTCCTCGCTGAATTCCCCACCTTTGATGTTGATGCCATTAAGATTATAACAGAAACTAATCTACTGTACCAGTTATGTCGATTTTCTACCCTCACTAACCTCTACAATTATAACTAAAGCCACTGAAGCATTATACGTATAAGTGTTTCTTGTTGAATAATAATAATCCTTGCCGACTTCTTTGTCACAGTTTTAGCCTCCCTCATTGCCTTACAAATATTTCAGCATTATGGTTCATTGCATCCTGGTGTTTTTTTTGCACTGAACAGTAGCTGTTTTACCTATTTAGATGCAAAGATGTTTTTTTTGTTGGGTCCCTGGTAATGTTGGTGTTCAGGTTCTTGAACTCAAAGATTCCTTTGCTCATTCCTTAGTCAGGACCTGATGCATTCAAGATTGTCGGCATGTCATTATTCTGTGTTGGGGACTAACAAGCTGCTTTCAATCAAACCACAACAATGTTTCTGGGTGACTTTCTTCCACTACTGTTGGCTGTGGAAATTAGTTCTTGAACTCCTGCATTAGCCACCCAAAGCTCAGTCGGGCATCTCGTGGAATTTCACAGGCTCGCCAGGTCTTCTTGGTGGCTCAGCACCTTATGACTGAGTGTCCTAATTATCAGAGGGATCCACAGGTTTTGTTTATCCTTTTTTTTGTGCACAATGATGCATTCACTCGACTATGCCACACCTTCCATGCAGGTTCTCCGATTTATTGGATGAAATTGATTTATTGCATATTCTTAAGATTTTCCCTTTCACATTTACCATTTGCTACATACACCTTTTTTCCCCAATCATTTAATGCTGGGAGACCCTTTTGCCTTTAGCATTTTCTTGTCATTATAACAATTATTATTTGAATGCTGCAGCAAGGAGGCTAGAGGCAGTAGAATGTCATGTTTGAGAGGAATGTGTAAATAACTTTTTTTTTTTAACACACAGGTCATCTTCCACCAAGGTAGGAAAACCTAAAAACGAAGAAACACTTTCATTATTACTCATTCCATCACTGCCCTGCCAATACCACAACTCAGCTGCCCCTCTAAACTAACATCCCCACCCTCTTCCAGATTGCAAACTCTCTACCTCCCATCTTCAGGGCTTGAGTCCAGCTAATCATTTTCCCTGAATCCCTTCATTTTACCTTCCTCACATTTCAATAGCTTGTCAAGTCATAAAAACCACTTGCCTCCACTCACTCCTATTCACCATGCTCACACACACCTGATGGACATTCAAAAGTCACAAAGGATATAATGCTGAGCCAAGGACGACTTGTTGAATTGATTTGAGCATGCAGAGAAGATGGACAGGATTAGGATGACTAACACTATAAATCTGGAGTAGAAAGGGCCATTCCAGGAACAATTGGAGGAACAGAGTTAAAGGATCAAAGTTTAATAATTTCGAATTATTTTCCTATCTGTGCGCCTCGTAGGGTCATGGGGTCCTTTAGGGGTCAGAGCATCCAGCAGGCTTATGTGAACATGTTAGATGTGAATGAAGGTAAGTGTTTATTTTAATGGAAGTGCTGTTTGAGTGCAAATTAGGATTCAGAGAAACTCGTTAGCCAAATCTTAAACCTGGAGGTGGGAAAGGCAGTGCCTGCATTCTGGAGGGTAGTGATATTGCAGTCTGAGAGAAATCTGAATTGTGATGTCAGCACATGCTGAAAAGAGAGCTATTTAATGGCTGATGGCAAATGCATTTTCTTCTCTGAGTTATCCTGCCTTGGCAAGAGACAGCCATGAAGGTAAAAACTAATTTACATAAAAAAGAAGTGCTAATCCCATGTGGGCTATACAGTGCTGAAATTAATTGAAAAGAAAAAATTTGTTACATACTGAAATGTTTAAAAGTACAAAACGGGTTTCATTAAAAAAAGCAATTCAATTTGTAGTTTATTTATGTGAGCACATTATCAAGATGGCAAATAAAGTAAGCACAAAGAATAGATATCTGGTCTATTCTTCTGTCACTACATAAATAATATTAATGGAGCATGTTCTTGTGAATTTAGAATTACAAAATGCAAATTGTATCAATGCTAAGTATTCTAAGAGAAAATTGTAGTGAGTGGAGCTAGACATATTACTATCTACAGTAGGAAAATGTATAACCTTTTACAATCAGTTTTGTTCATTTCTCATAGGCCACTAAAATTATTGCAAATGCAGAATTTATGACTATCAATAACTGCAAAAGTGATACAAAGAATTTTGTTGAACACATTAATTTCATGAAAGGAGCTAAATGAACAATTACAGCTATTGTACTGGATTAATCTACAATGATCAATGCAGACAGTATAATCCTTGTAGTCACGTGCATTTTTGATCTTTTGAAGTAACTCGATCCACGAGATCTACGCACTCAATTCTTTCATCATTACTAAGCACATGCAAAGCATAATACTGTTATACTTTTGAAGGTGTGAAGAGAAAGAATCTACTCGACACAAGAGTAGGATAGCAATTTGAACACATTACTGAACCAAGAAATTGTACTGTGCTTATAAAACACAGTATTCATATACTGTATTGCAATACACAATAGCTTTCCAAACCTTCACACTTGAGTATTGAAAGCTTCCTTACAGAATTTGTAAGGCAGGAAATTAAAAGTTAACTCACCAAAATTCTAATCTTGTGGTACTACAGAACATAAGAATTTTTCTTTGACTAGCAAGTATGTTTGCTATAAATTTAAGAGTATTAATGCCAGAAGAGAATTAAAAAAAAAAAAAACTGAATTACAAATGTCCAAACAAGAGTAGAAATTTCAGAAAATATCCATCTGATTTTAATGAAGTCCAAATGGAAGTGCTGTGTCCAATTTTTACTACTTGGAAATTTCTATTATTAGGACACATCCATGCATATAGTATTAGTCTCAATACAAGACATGACAGTAACCAGTGATGCATTTTATGCCATTTCTGGTTTAAAATCCCTTTCACAAACACATGAATTATCTAATACCAATACAATATGTCAAAGTATTGAGCCACTACAGTTGGTGCCAATACAGAAGAGACAGCAAACCTTGACTTTTAAACTTCCACATTTGAGGAAAAAAAAAAAAAAAAAAAAAAAAGAGGAAAAAAGGCATCTCTAATAAAAAAATTGAGTACCATCTAGCATGACTTCACCTAAATATGCCTGATACAAGCAAAAAAATTATGTACAAAAGAGACGCACACAAAAACATATGCAACAAAAATTCCACGATGAAAAAGATTATTACTAATTAAGTTGGTCTATGGTAATAGCACACACTGCTCTGTTTATAATGTGATTAATTTCTTGGATAAAGTAACTTTTAGGATGAACAATTAATCATAGGAGTATTCAAATATTACAAAAAATTAATAAAATATATACTAAAAACTAACTACTTTATCACATATGGAAATTTTTCTGGCAATTAGTCATTTTCAAGTGATGTAATTATAAATTAGGTACCTATTTTCAACTTCACATTTTTGGATTTCACATCCGTTAAAAAAATTTCCATCAATTCTTTTACCAGAGGAAAAAAAATTATTCAGTATCACATTATGCTTCTAAAAGTTAATACTGTTAAATAATAAAAAAGAAGGGCTGTTCAGAGATCCTTTTTATGTGCTAATACTTCCATCTTATGTAACACAATAATTTGTGATAAAGACAACTTATTAATATCTAAACATGGTTTTACTAAAACATTCACAATTTAATAGTAAAACATTTTTCTTGAACATTTCTTAACAGTTAAGTGTTACAGAAAATTTCTGTTAAACTTCTCTATCGAGGAAAAAATACATGGCAATATGCCACCACATGAATTTTTTTTTTTTTTAAGAATCCATGGGAACACAAAATACCAAATTGGCTTATCAGAAATGGTGACTAGGACCCATACAAACATTAAACCATTCAAGACTTGAAAGTAATGAGTCTAATTATGTAGAGCACCTTGGTGGATGTGTTCAATGAATCACAACTGATAGCACTAAGAGTATCCGGTCACTTATGATCAGCTACAACTTCCAAGGAACCATTTGGTTGTCTCTTAATTAGTATATGAATCACAGATGTAAATACAAATTAACCAATTTCTTACAAACTGGTTCTCAGTAAGAAAAATTTTGCTTAAGAATTTCTTTTCAAACTGTAATGATTAAAGAACCCATATCACCCCATGTTAAGTAAGACTAATGGATAAATATATATTAATTTCCTAGAAAGTGAACCTAAATAATGCAAAGTTGATCTGGATCACAGATAATGAGGCAATGAATCTGTCTGATACTAAGTTTATAATATCAGTCAAATGAAATGCAACACTAATGTACATGACAAAACATAACTGTACAAAAAAATAAATATATATACTGTACAACGAAAATTCCCTGAATAATGCTTAAAGAATATGCAAAGTCTAATCTTAATCTTATTTTACAAGAAATAACTTAATTACCAATTTCTATGACTGTACCTACTAAACTATTTTTAATGAAAGTAATATTTATCATAAAACTCTGCTAATGGCAAATTATTTCCCCTAATGAAACATTACAATAATTCACCAATTAGGAACTTAAACATGCAAATTATTAGGCTAATATTTATTTGAACAGTAGTTTAGTTGCGAGGAAGATTCTGCTTGGACAAGTTTCTAACGGAAAGACAGAATGAACTACAAAACTGGTAAGAGATTGGGTTGTTGTCAAGTGTGGGCTGACTTATCAGGTGCTTACATTTATTGTCCTGATGCAAACACTTAACTGATGATCATCACAGCATTCTTTATTCAAGCAACCATAAATAAATTGATATAATAGGCTGAGTTTTGAGACAGGCAGTCTTTCAGCAACACATGACTGTCTTAACATTACGTATTTTATTGATTGACTGACATAACAGGCCATAATTTGAGAAAGGTTCTCAACCTTTAACAATGTATTGCATTGTCCTAGCATTTTACATTTTAAGGAGTTTTGGAATAGGTACATACAAAAAGCAATTTAACTTTCACTATTTCAATGTACAAACCATGAATTTCATACCAAGTACATACAACTTTATTTCCTATTTTGGCCTGTATGTTAAATGTGGTTCTCCCACTTCTGCACTCTTAATAGCATATTTATTAAAAAACACTTGTCAAATCACATTAGCTTAATATCAGTCCCTGAGGTGAGTAGCTCCTTGAAATAATTATGTACCATTATATGAATGAACTTTTATTATTGTGAATCCTTCATTTTAAATTTGCCATGCTGACAGTTTTTATTCTACATACACAAATCTGTTCTGAAAATTACCATGACAATATAATCAAACTTACAAACAAGCAAAACTCAAGTCAATTTGGACAGGTTTTTGAAAAATTAGCAGAATGGTGTTATCCATTGTCTCTTGAAAACTATTTTCTCTCAAAGATGGATTCTTTCTTCAAGAATGAACAAGTTATGTTTCTTTGGAATGTTTGAGATGAGTAACATCATCTTTTGAGGCCAGTAACCTGTGTCTGAAAAATAAACGTACATGTTAATCCTCTAATAATATACAAGTAAATTATATTTTATGCTTAATTTTTGAGTGTGAACAGAATCTTTTACATTTTTTTTTTCCAAGTTAGCCATCTCCCACTGAGGCAGGGTGGCCCAAAAAGAAAGAAAATCCCCCAAAAGAAAATACTATCATCATCATTCAACACTTTCACCTCACTCACACATAATCACTGTTTTTGCAGAGGTGCTCAGAACACAGCAGTTTAGAAGCATATATGTATAAAGATACACAACATATCCTTCCAAACTGCTAATATCCCAAACCCCTCCTTTAGTGTGCAGGCATTGTACTTCCCATTTCCAGGACTCAAGTCCAGCTATACAAAAATAACTGGTTTCCCTGAATCCCTTCACTAAATATTACCCTGCTCACACTCCACAGGTCCCAAATACCATTCGTCTCCATTCACTCCTATCGAACACGCTCATGCACGCCTGCTGGAAGTCCAAGCCCCTCGCCCACAAAACCTCCCTTACAACCTTTTCCAACCTTTTCGAGGACGACCCCTACCCCGCCTTCCTTAACCTACAGATTTATACACTCTCCATGTCATTCTACTTTGATCCATTCTCTCTAAATGACCAAACCACCTCAACAACCCCTCTTCAGCCCTCTGACTAATACTTTTATTAACTCCACACCTTTTCTTAATTTCCACACTCTGAATTTTCTGCATAATATTTACACCACACATTGCCCTCACACAGGACATTTCCACTTCCTCCAACCGCCTCCTCGCTGCTGCATTCACAACCCAAGCTTCACACCCATATAAGAGTGTTGGTACTACTATACTTTCATACATTCCCTTCTCTGCCTCCATAGATAACGTTTTTTGTCTCCACATATACCTCAATGCACCACTCACCTTTTTTCCCTCATCATTTCTATGATTAACCTCATCCTTCATAAATCTATCCGCCGACACGTCAACTCCCAAGTACATGTATCTGAAAACATTCACTCCTTCCATACTCCTCCTCCCCAATGTAATATCCAATTTTTCTTTATCTAAATCATTTGATACCCTCATCACCTTACTCTTTTCTATGTTCACTTTCAACTTTCTACCTTTACACACACTCCCAAACTCATCCACTAACCTTTACAATTTTTATTTAGAATCTCCCATAAGCACAGTATCATCAGCAAAAAGCAACTGTGTCAACTCCCATTTTCTATTTAATTCCCCATAATTTAATCCCACCCCTCTCCTAAACACCCTAGCATTTACTTATTTTACAACCCCATTTTTTTTTTTATTAACACACTGGCCGATTCCCGCCAAGGCAGGGTGGCCCGAAAAAGAAAAACTTTCACCATCATTCACTCCATCACTGTCTTGCCAGAAGCGTGCTTTACACTACAGTTTTTAAACTGCAACATTAACACCCCTCCTTCAGAGTGCAGGCACTGTACTTTCCATCTCCAGGACTCAAGTCCGGCCTGCCGGTTTCCCTGAATCCCTTCATAAATGTTACTTTGCTCACACTCCAACAGCACGTCAGGTATTAAAAACCATTTGTCTCCATTCACTATCAAACACGCTCGTGCATGTCTGCTGGAAGTCCAAGCCCCTCGCACACAAAACCTCCTTTACCCCCTTCCTCCAACCTTTCCTAGGCCGACCCCGACCCCGCCTTCCTTCCACTACAGACTGATACACTCTTGAAGTCATTCTGTTTCGCTCCATTGTCTATACATGTCCAAACCACCTCAACAACCCTTCCTCAGCCCTCTGGACAACAGTTTTGGTAATCCCGCACCTCCTCCTAACTTCCAAACTACGAATTCTCTGCATTATATTCACACCACACATTGCCCTCAGACATGACATCTCCACTGCCTCCAGCCTTCTCCTCGCTGCAACATTCATCACCCATCTTCACACCCATAAAACCTTTGGAAAAAACTATACTCTCATATTTTTCCCCTCTTTGCCTCCAAGAACAAAGTTCTTTGTCTCCACAGACTCCTAAGGCCCCCGCTCAAACCCTTTTTCCCCCCCATCAATTCTTATTCACCTCATTTTCATAGCCCATCCGCTCCACTCCCTCCCAAATTCTGAATACATTCACCCCCCATACTCTCTCCCTCCAACTGATACCAATCTTTCATCACCAATCTTTTGTTATCCTCATAAATTTTCCTTTCCTGTAATTTACTTTTTAAATTTTTTTCTTTGATCCCTACCAAAATTTATCCACCAACCTCTGCAACTTCTCTTCAAATCCCCAAAAGCACAATGTCATCAGCAAAAGCAACTGTACAACTCCCCCCTTGAGTGTGATTCTTTTAATTTTTAAACCCGCCCCTTGCCAAGACCCCCGCATTTTCTTTTTCTACAACCCCCTCTATAAATATATTAAAAAACCACGGGCATCACACATCCTTGTCAAGGCCTACTTTTACTGGGAAATATTTTTCCCCCCCTTTCCTACATACTTAATTTAGCCTCACTATCCTCATCAAAACTCTTACTGCTTTCAGTAACCTACCTCCTACACCATACACCTGCCACATTGCCCCCCTATCCACCCTGTCATATGCCTTTTCCAAATCCATAAATGCCACAAAAACCTCTTTAGCCTTATCTAAATACTGTTCAATTATATGTTTCACTGTGAACATCTGGTCCACACACCCCCTTCCTTTCCTAAAGCCTCCTTGTTCATTTGCTATCCCACTCTCCGTCTCACTCTTAATTCTTTCAATAATAACTCTACCATACACTTTACCAGGTATACTCAACAGACTTATCCCCCTTTAATTTTTGCACTCTCTTTTGTCCCCTTTGCCTTTATACAAAGGAACTATGCATGCTTTCTGCCAATCCCTAGGTACCTTACCCTCTTCCATGCATTTATTAAATAATTGCACCAGCCACTCCAAAACTAGATCCCCACCTGCTTTTAACATTTCTATCTTTATCCCATCAATCCCGGCTGCTTTACCCCCTTTCATTTTACCTACTGCCTCACTAACTTCCCCCACACTCACAACTGGCTCTTCCTCACTCCTACAAGATGTTATTCCTCCTTGCCCTATACACGAAATCACAGCTTCAATATCTTCATCAACATTTAACAATTTCTCAAAATATTCCTTCCATCTTCCCAATACCTCTAACTCTCCATTTAATAACTCTCCTCTCCTATTTTTAACTGACAAATCCATTTGTTCTCTAGGCTTCCTTAACTTGTTAATCTCACTCCAAAACTTTTTCTTATTTTCAACAAAATTTGTTGATAACATCTCACCCACTCTCTCATTTGCTCTCCTTTTACATTGCTTCACCACTCTCTTAACTTCTCTCTTTTTCTCCATATACTCTTCCCTCCTTGCATCACTTCTACTTTGTAAAAACTTCTCATATGCTAACTTTTTCTCCCTTAGTACTCTCTTTACATCATCATTCCACCAATCGCTCCTCTTCCCTCACATGTTCCAGCCAGCCTCCGCGGTAACATCCAAGCATACAATTGGAACATTTCGTATTATTACAGCGTTTTTGGTGATTTTATCTGCAAAGTGACCATGGGCCCCAAGAAAGCTTCTAGTGCCAACCCTACAGGAATAAGGGTGAGAATTACTATAGAGATGAAGAAAGAGATCATTGCTAAGTATGAAAGTGGAGTACGTGTCTCTGAGCTGGCCAGGTTGTATAGTGAACCCCAATCAACCATCGCTACTATTGTGTCCAAGAAAACGGCAATCAAGGAAGCTGTTCTTGCCAAAGGTTCAACTGTGTTTTCGAAACAGAGATCGCAAGTGATAGAAGATGTTGAGAGACTCTTATTGGTGTGGACAAACGAAAAACAGATAGCAGGAGATAGCATCTCTCAGGCGATCATAAGTGAAAAGGCTAGGAAGTTGCATCAGGATTTAATTAAAAAAATGCCTGCAACTAGTGATGATGTGAGTGAATTTAAGGTCAGCAAAGATTGGTTTGAGAGATTTAAGAAGCGTAGTGGCATACATAGTGTGATAAGGCATGGTGAGGCTGCAGTTCGGACCACAAAGCAGCTGAAAAATATGTGCAGGCATTCAAGGAGCACATAGACAGTGCAGGACTGAAACTTGAACAAGTGTTTAATTGTGACAAAACAGGCCTGTTTTGGAAGAAAATGCCAAGCAGGACCTACATTACTCAGGAGGAAAAGGCACTCCTAGGACATAAGCCTATGAAAGACAGGCTTACTCTTCTCATGTGTGCCAATGCTAGTGGTGATTGCAAAGTGAAGCCTTTATTGGTGTATCACTCTGAAACTCCCAGAGCGTTCAGGCAAAAGAATATCCTCAACGCTAATTTGTGTGTGCTGTGGAGGGCAAACAGTAAGGCATGGGTCACTAGGGACTTTTTCTATGACTGGTTACACCAAGCATTTGCCCCCAATGTGAAAAATTACCTAACTGAAAAGAAATTAGACCTTAAGTGCCTCCTGGTGTTAGACAATGCCCCTGGTCATCCTACAGACTTGGCAGAGCGACTTTGTGGGGACATGAGCTTCATTAAGGTCAAGTTTTTGCCTCCTAATACCACTCCTCTCCTGCAGCCCATGGACCAGCAGGTTATTGCAAACTTCAAAAAACTGTACACAAAAGCTCTGTTTGAAAGGTGCTTTGTAGTGACCTCAGAAACTCAATTGACTCTAAGAGAGTTTTGGAGAGATCACTTTAATATCCTCAATTGTGTAAAACTTATAGGTAAGGCTTGGGAGGGAGTGACTAAGAGGACCTTGAACTCTGCTTGGAAGAAACTGTGGCCACAATGTGTAGACCAAAGGGATTTTGAAGGGTTTGAGGCTAACCCTGGGAATCCTATGCCAGTTGAGGAATCCATTGTGGCATTGGGAAAGTCCTTGGGGTTGGAGGTTAGTGGGGATGATGTGGAAGAGTTGGTGGAGGAGGACAATGAAGAACCAACCACTGATGAGCTGCTAGATCATCTTCATCAGCATGAGGCCACACCTGAGGAAACTGCTTCGGAGGAGGGGAGAGAGAAATTGAAGAAGTTGCCTACTTCAAAGATTAAGGAAATCTGTGCAATGTGGCTTAAAGTGCAAACCTTCATGGATGAAAATCACCCTCAGACAGCTGTTGCAAGCCGTGCTGGTGACTATTACACTGACAATGTTGTGAACCACTTTAGGAAAGTCATAAAGGAACGAGAGGGACAGACCTCTATCGACAGATATGTTGTGTGACAAAAGTCCAGTGACTCTGAAGCTGGTCCTAGTGGCATTAAAAGAAGAAGGGAAGTAACCCCAGAAAAGGACTTGACACCTCAAGTCTTAATGGAAGGGGATTCCCTTCTAAACACTAAGACTCTCTCCTCCTCCCATCCCATCAATCACCACCAGATCTTCAATAAAGGTAAGTGTCATGTAACTGTGCATGTCTTCTTCAGTTTGTGTGTATTAAAATTAATATTTCATGTGGTAAAATTTTTTTTTTTCGTACTTTTGGGTGTCAGGAACGGATTAATTTGATTTCCATTATTTCTTATGGGGAAAATTCATTCGCATAATGATAATTTCGCATAACATTGAGCTCTCAGGAACAGATTAATATCGTTATGCGGGGGTCCACTGTATATTAAACAACCATGGTGACATTACACATCCCTGTCTAAGACCTACTTTTACTGGGAAGTAGTCTCCCTCTCTTCAACACACCCTAACCTGAGCCTCACTATCCTCATAAAAACTCTTTACAGCATTTAGTAACTTACCACCTATTCCATATACTTGCAACATCTGCTACATTGCTCCCCTATCCACTATCATATTCCTTTTCTAAATCCATAAATGCAATAAAAACTTCCCTACCTTTATCTAAATGCTGTTCACATATATGCTTCAATGTAAACACTTGATCTACACATCCCCAACTTATTTTTTTTTTTTTATTATCACACTGGCCGATTCCCACCAAGGCAGGGTGGCCCGAAAAAGAAAAACTTTCACCATCATTCACTCCATCACTGTCTTGCCAGAAGGGTGCTTTACACTACAGTTTTTAAACTGCAACATTAACACCCCTCCTTCAGAGTGCAGGCACCGTACTTCCCATCTCCAGGACTCAAGTCTGGCCTGCCAGTTTCCCTGAACCCCTTCATAAATGTTACTTTGCTCACACTCCAACAGCACGTCAAGTATTAAAAACCATTTGTCTCCATTCACTCCTATCAAACACGCTCACACATGCCTGCTGGAAGTCCAAGCCCCTCGCACACAAAACCTCCTTTACCCCCTTCCTCCAACCTTTCCTAGGCCGACCCCTACCCCGCCTTCCTTCCACTACAGACTGATACACTCTTGAAGTCACTCTGTTTCGCTCTATTCTCTCTACATGTCCGAACCACCTCAACAACCCTTCCTCAGCCCTCTGGACAACAGTTTTGGTAATCCCACACCTCCTCCTAACTTCCAAACTACGAATTCTCTGCATTATATTCACACCACACATTGCCCTCAGACATGACATCTCCACTGCCTCCAGCCTTCTCCTCGCTGCAACATTCATCACCCATGCTTCACACCCATATAAGAGTGTTGGTAAAACTATACTCGCATACATTCCCCTCTTTGCCTCCAAGGACAAAGTTCTTTGTCTCCACAGACTCCTAAGTGGACCACTCACCCTTTTCCCCTCATCAATTCTATGATTCACTTCATCTTTCATAGACCCATCCACTGACACGTCCACTCCCAAATATCTGAATACATTCACCTCCTCCATACTCTCTCCCTCCAATCTGATATCCAATCTTTAATCACTAATCTTTTTATCCTCATAACCTTACTCTTTCCTGTATTCACTTTTAATTTTCTTCTTTTGCACACCCTACCAAATTCATCCACCAATCTCTGCAACTTCTCTTCAGAATCTCCCAAGAGCACAGTGTCATCAGCAAAGAGCAACTGTGACAACTCCCACTTTATGTGTGATTCTTTATCTTTTAACTCCACACCTCTTGCCAAGACCCTCGCATTTACTTCTCTTACAACCCTATCTATAAATATATTAAACAACCACGGTGACATCACACATCCCCTACTTATGTGGTAAATTATAAAAATATGTTACAAAAGCCTATAATGTAAGAAACTGTTCAGATCGCCAAGCACCTAGATACCCATCAATTACACAACCCAGGGCAACATGGGTTTAAAGCAGGTTGCTCCTGCCTGTCCCAGCTACTGGACCACTATGACAAGGTCCTGGATGCTACAGAGGATGAATGAAATGCAGATGTAGTATACACAGACTTTGCAAAAGCCTTTGACAAGTCCAACCACGATGTAACAGCACACAAAATGCATGATAAAGGAATAACACGAAAAGTTGGTAGATGGATCTATAACTTCCTAACAAATAGAACACAAAGAGTAATAGTAAACAGAGTAAAGTCTGAGGCAGCTATGGTGAAAAGCTCTGTTCCACAAGGCACAGTACTTGCTCCCATTCTATTCCTCATATCTGACAGAGAGAGAGGTGTAAGCCATAGCTCCGTGTCTTCCTTTGCGGACGACACTCGAATTGCCATGACAGTACCCTCCATTGAAAACACCATGAGACTCCAAGTGGACATCAACCAAATCTTCAAATGGCCACTCAAAACAATATGAAGTTTAATGAAAAGAAATTTCAACTACTCAGATATGGAAAACTTAAGGAAATTAAAACTATCAGGGTATACAACAAATTCTAACCATACAATAGAGCAAAAAAGTTTTGTGATGTCAGAGGATTTCACCTTCAAAGACCACAACAACGTATCTACCGCATTTGCTAGAAAAATGATAGGATGGATAATGAGAACCTTCAAAACTAGGGAAACCAAGCTCATGATGATTCTCTTCAAATTGCTTGTTCTCTCTAGGCTGGAATATTCTGTACACAATTTCCCCTTTTTAAAGGCAGGCAAAATTGCTGACCTGGAGAGTAAGAAAAAACTTTCATTGAAACATAAGTACGTTAAAGCACCAAATTCTGAAAACGGTTGAATTCACCCAAAAAGACTTTATGAGATTCAACCTAGGATAACCCAATGTAGTAAAACAAGGGGTTTTTTATTTCCAATTTTAAATGACCATTAAAACCTTTAAAAAACAATTGTAAATAAATTTCTTTGAAAATTACGTTTTAACAGAGGTCTTGAAGCATGAAAGTTTTAGGACATACAAATTAATTATGTTTATATAACCCAGAAGTAGGTAGTGGGTTGGTAACAGCAACCCCCAGGGGGTATACCGCCTCCAAGGAGTGAAAATAAAGCCTTTAATTTTTTACATGATGGTAGTATTGCGGTGTCCTTTTTTTCTTCTCAAAACTGCAAATTTCGGGTATGTCTTGCTACTTCTACTTACACTTAATCACCTACACATACATTACAAGCAATAAACACACACCCCTCTGGGTTTTTAATACAGATTTTCTTACATTCTTTTTCTTGTTGTTTATTTTTTTCTTACCTCCCCGGGGGAAGGGAAAAAAATTCTTTCCCCGTAAGCCATCGTGTTGTAGGAGGCAACTAAAATGCCGGGCAAGGGGGAGTAACCCCTTCTCCTGATATATACTAAAAGAAAAGGAGAAACTTTCGTTTTTCCTTTTTGGGGCCCCCCTCCTCGGGGGGATACGGGCCCGGGGTTTGAAACAAAGAAATAAACCAAAAGATTTCCTAAACAAAAAATATAATAAAAATTTTTAACCCAGAAATAGTACATGGAGTTTATTTTCCCAATTTTGAGGAGCATTGCCCCTTTAAAAAAAATAATAAGATTTCATTTAAAAAATGTTTTCAGTGGTCTTGAAGGCACACAGGTGTTATGGGCACACAAATTCTGTGATGTTTATATAGCCCAGGATATTTCCTCTAACCTAAATATATAACATAATTAATTTAAGATAAGCAAATAGTCAAATAATGCAACTTATTTCCATGTTCTGAGGAGTATCACCTTGAAAAAAATGTAATAGCATAAATATTTCTTGTATACAGTGTTAGAAGACCAACTATATATATCAAGTGGAGAAATGTCAAGCTATGCATTTCCCCATGTTTAACCCTTTCACTGTCCACACCCCAAAATGAAACTTGCTCTCAACGTGTATAAAAAAAAAAGTTAACAGTGCAAAACCTTACCAATAATAATTTAAAACAGAGTGAAGTTATTTTCCTCGCTCCTGAGCCAGTGTAGCTTCTATTTCATCAGAAACATCCGGCATTAGAGGTCGCCAATACTGGAGAGATGAGTACTCGCCCAAGGTCTCTTGGTGGGCAACTGGAGGAAACATGTGATTGGAAATATCACTGAGATTGGAGTATCTGTTAAAAGAAATAAACACCTTTAAAAAAGCACAGTATATAAAAATACATTGTTATATCATCTAGTATGTCACCTACTTATTATTATACTAAGTTAATTATTATTCTAGGTAGATTACTGTAGTAAAAATTTACCAATGTATTTTTAACTGATAATAAAAATTAAGACTTTCTATTTATATACACTACAGCTCAAGTTGGAACTGTATTATTACATGGAATTAGTATGTACTAAACTGAGTTTAAACTAAGTCATTAAAATCATATTACTGTTCCTAATTTTTACTTTCCACAGTATGCAGTTAGTTGTCATTATTTTATAGGATCATGCTAATGTATTTGTCTCACCCCCAGAGTTGTGTTTCAGTTTATTTTATTTTTTTTTTTTATTATCACACTGGCCGATTCCCACCAAGGCAGGGTGGCCCGAAAAAGAAAAACTTTCACCATCATTCACTCCATCACTGTCTTGCCAGAAGGGTGCTTTACACTACAGTTTTTAAACTGCAACATTAACACCCCTCCTTCAGAGTGCAGGCACTGTACTTCCCATCTCCAGGACTCAAGTCCGGCCTGCCGGTTTCCCTGAATCCCTTCATAAATGTTACTTTGCTCACACTCCAACAGCACGTCAAGTATTAAAAACCATTTGTCTCCATTCACTCCTATCAAACACGCTCACGCATGCCTGCTGGAAGTCCAAGCCCCTCGCACACAAAACCTCCTTTACCCCCTCCCTCCAACCCTTCCTAGGCCGACCCCTACCCCGCCTTCCTTCCACTACAGACTGATACACTCTTGAAGTCATTCTGTTTCGCTCCATTCTCTCTACATGTCCGAACCACCTCAACGACCCTTCCTCAGCCCTCTGGACAACAGTTTTGGTAATCCCGCACCTCCTCCTAACTTCCAAACTACGAATTCTCTGCATTATATTCACACCACACATTGCCCTCAGACATGACATCTCCACTGCCTCCAGCCTTCTCCTCGCTGCAACATTCATCACCCACGCTTCACACCCATATAAGAGCGTTGGTAAAACTATACTCTCATACATTCCCCTCTTTGCCTCCAAGGACAAAGTTCTTTGTCTCCACAGACTCCTAAGTGCACCACTCACTCTTTTTCCCTCATCAATTCTATGATTCACCTCATCTTTCATAGACCCATCCGCTGACACGTCCACTCCCAAATATCTGAATACGTTCACCTCCTCCATACTCTCTCCCTCCAATCTGATATTCAATCTTTCATCACCTAATCTTTTGTTATCCTCATAACCTTACTCTTTCCTGTATTCACCTTTAATTTTCTTCTTTTGCACACCCTACCAAATTCATCCACCAATCTCTGCAACTTCTCTTCAGAATCTCCCAAGAGCACAGTGTCATCAGCAAAGAGCAGCTGTGACAACTCCCATTTTGTGTGTGATTCTTATTTTTTTAACTCCACGCCTCTTGCCAAGACCCTCGCATTTACTTCTCTTACAACCCCATCTATAAATAAAATTAAACAACCAGGGTGACATCACACATCCTTGTCTAAGGCCTACCTTTACTGGGAAAAAATTTCCCTCTTTCCTACATACTCTAACTTGAGCCTCACTATCCTCGTAAAAACTCTTCACTGCTTTCAGTAACCTACCTCCTACACCATACACTTGCAACATCTGCCACATTGCCCCCCTATCCACCCTGTCATACGCCTTTTCCAAATCCATAATGCCACAAAGACCTCTTTAGCCTTATCTAAATACTGTTCACTTATATGTTTCACTGTAAACACCTGGTCCACACACCCCCTACCTTTCCTAAAGCCTCCTTGTTCATCTGCTATCCTATTCTCCGTCTTACTCTTAATTCTTTCAATTATAACTCTACCATACACCTTACCAGGTACACTCAACAGACTTATCCCCCTATAATTTTTGCACTCTCTTTTATCCCCTTTGCCTTTATACAAAGGAACTATGCATGCTCTCTGCCAATCCCTAGGTACCTTACCCTCTTCCATACATTTATTAAATAATTGCACCAACCACTCCAAAACTATATCCCCACCTGCTTTTAACATTTCTATCTTTATCCCATCAATCCCGGCTGCCTTACCCCCTTTCATTTTAACCTACTGCCTCACGAACTTCCCCCACACTCACAACTGCTCTTCCTCACTCCTACAAGATGTTATTCCTCCTTGCCCTATACACGAAATCACAGCTTCCCTATCTTCATCAACATTTAACAATTCCTCAAAATATTCCCTCCACTTCCCAATACCTCTAACTCTCCATTTAATAACTCTCCTCTCCTATTTTTAACTGACAAATCCATTTGTTCTCTAGGCTTTCTTAACTTGTTAATCTCACTCCAAAAACTTTTTCTTATTTTCAACAAAATTTGTTGATAACATCTCACCCACTCTCTCATTTGCTCTCTTTTTACATTGCTTCACCACTCTCTTAACTTCTCTCTTTTTCTCCATATACTCTTCCCTCCTTGCATCACTTCTACTTTGTAAAAACTTCTCATATGCTAACTTTTTCTCCCTTACTACTCTCTTTACATCATCATTCCACCATCGCTCCTCTTCCCTCCTGCACCACTTTCCTGTAACCACAAACTTCTGCTGAACACTCTAACACTACATTTTTAAACCTAGCCCATACCTCTTCGACCCCATTGCCTATGCTCTCATTAGCCCATCTATCCTCCAATAGCTGTTTATATCTTACCCTAACTGCCTCCTCTTTTAGTTTATAAACCTTCACCTCTCTCTTCCCTGATGCTTCTATTCTCCTTGTATCCCATCTACCTTTTACTCTCAGTGTAGCTACAACTAGAAAGTGATCTGATATATCTGTGGCCCCTCTATAAACATGTACATCCTGAAGTCTACTCAACAGTCTTTTATCTACCAAACATAATCCAACAAACTACTGTCATTTCGCCCTACATCATATCGTGTATACTTATTTATCCTCTTTTTCTTAAAATATGTATTACCTATAACTAAAACCCCTTTCTATACAAAGTTCAATCAAAGGGCTCCCATTATCATTTACACCTGGCACCCCAAACTTACCTACCACACCCTCTCTAAAGGTTTCTCCTACTTTAGCATTCAGGTCCCCTACCACAATTACTCCTCTTTTGGGTTCAAAGGCTCCTATACATTCACTTAACATCTCCCAAAATCTCTCTCTCTCCCTCTGCATTTCTCTCTTCTCCGGGTGCATACACACTTATTATGACCCACTTCTCGCATCCAACCTTTACTTTAATCCACAAATTCTTGAATTTACACATTCATATTCTCTTTTCTCCTTCCATAACTGATCATTTAACATTACTGCTACCCCTTTCCTTTGCTCTAACTCTCTCAGATACTCCAGATTTAATCCCATTTATTTCCCCCCACTAAAACTCTCCACCCCCTTCAGCTTTGTTTCGTTTAGGGCCCAGACATCCAACTTCTTTCATTCATAACATCACAATCACCCTGTTTCCTTGTCATCCGCACTACATCCACGCACTTTTAAGCAACCAGTTTTATAAAAGTTTTTCTTCTTCTCTTTTTTAGTAAATGTATACAGGGGAAGGGGGTTACTAGCCCATTGCTTTCCCGGGATTTTAGTCGCCCTCATACGACACGCATGGCTTACGGAGGAAAGATTCTTTTCCACTTCCCCATGGACAATAGAAGAAATAAAAAAGAACAAGAGCTATTTAGAAAAAGGAGAAAAACCTAGATGTATGTATATATATATATGCATGTGTGTGTCTGTGAAGTGTGACCAAAGTGTAAGTAGGAGTAGCAAGATATCCCTGTTATCTTAGCGTGTTTATGAGACAGAAAAAGAAAACCAGCAATCCTACCATCATGTAAAACAGTTACAGGTTTCTGTTTCACAGTCATCTGGCAGGACGGTAGTACTTCCCTGGGTGGTTGCTGTCTACCAACCTACTACATAAAAAATTTCTATCAAAAGTTGAAAAGCACCAACTGTCACAATTTAACACTAAATCTAAAATCCTGAACTGGAATTATAACTACCTTTTAAAACTAAGAATACTGTATATGCTAATTCCACCCACCGTATACAGTATAGTTTTTCTTGCAATGTAAAAGGAAATAACCCAGTTTATATAATAATGAACAGTGAAGGTCAAATATTTAAACTAAAGCAATATAACCAGCAAAAATGCAATACTTGATGTATTCACATGATCAATACTGTACATGCTGAGAGTAACATATCAAAACTGTGGCAGACAGGACAGTCTGCCACTCACTGCACTGTGCAGTATATTTGAAACTCACAATCATTTAAAGCATATTAAAAAACTATTAATCCCATTTTTAATATGGTAAACAATCTTACAACACTACTTCAAAAATACAATAAACAAAAATTGGCAGCAGGGAACTCTTGATATTATGCACCAAAAATTTAAGAAAATAATCAAGTATAGTAACGTGTAAAATTTGGACAGTACACTCAGATTTTTTTTTTCAATTTGTTTGCCAACAGCCCAGCTGGGTGGCTATAACTGGTGCCCCCCAGCCTCCTGCCATTCTTTTTAGGTGAGAGCAATTCATGACCACTAGATATATCTTTGATTTACTTTTGATGGATATGTAGCCAGTAGGCTGTCAAAACAGCCAGGTTAACCAGACAAATACCAGACAAGGCTGGCCAAAGGTGGAGTATGAGAGTTGGAAACTCAGGAAATCCATCAAAGGTATAACAAATGTACTGACAGATTTTGAGTTTTTTCCTACTCCTGCAGCCAGGCTTATCTGGCCCTTGTCTGGTCAATCAGCTTGTTACTGCTGGTGGTCTGCTGGCACATGTAACCATCATGGCCTGGTTGCTCTGGCATTGAGTTTCCTCTTGAACACTCTACACTTGTTCTGGCAGCATTACTGTCATCTTTTGGTAAGATGCTAAAAACATCTACACCCATGGAGTTTGATAGTGTTCTCATATTATGGCTGCTGCACCATTTCTTTTCACTTAGTTCATTTTACACTGCTATATATCTCTCACTCCAGTATGCTGTTATAGTGTGCAGATTTGGGACTAAATTCTCAATACCTTTCATATATATATGTATACACTGTATTATCATGTATTTCTCTCGCAGAGTACAAAATTAGGACTTTGAGGCATTCCCAGTAATTTATAGCATATTGTATAAATAGTTTAGAAAATCAGCTGTTCTCTGTATTTGGTCTGAAGAAGTCACTGGCTGACTAAACATTTCGAGAACAAAGATTCCCAAATGTAGCACAAGTGTCTCGTTTATCAATTTATTGTATATGCCAGCATATACGGTAAATGCTGCATTAACTTTATCAAGGACATAAATGATCTCTGAATCTGTTCTAGCTTCCATATTTCTCCTGTCCTGAATGAAGCCAACAACAGTGAACAGTATTCTAAAGTGAGAGAGCACAAGTGATTTGAACAGTGCCACCACTGACATTATTAATTCCATTGTTTTGAAAGTTCAAATTATCCATTCCATTTTCCTGGTTTTCATGACATTTGTTTCACTGAATTCCTTAAAAGCTAGGCCAGCTGGCATTAGTACTCCCAGGTGCTTCCCATGTTCCTTTAGTTCTATATGGTGATCCTCTTGAGCTTTGTACATGGTGCCCCTGTTTGAGTTTTTCATGCTTTCCATATTTAAACAGTTAGGAGAGGCACCACTCAAGACTCAGAGCAGACTGAGAAAATCTAAAGAGGGAACTGTCAAAATTTTGTGCATTACTAAATCTTGTTTTCAATTTATGGAATGTAATACCAATCCTTTTACCATGCTATACTTTTTAGGAGCAGTTTTCCAATAGTGTTAAGACAATCGCATGCAGTTTGATTACTCTTATTAATGATCTACTGTATTACATTATATGTCAATTTTCTGGAATATATCCCCTGCTTTATGTAAGGCTTATTTTGAAGGCCTCTTGGTCTTAATGCTGTTGGATTTTTAGGAGTACCTGTATAATATTAAAGTCTGTAAGGCATTATTGTAAAGTATATGAAAGTGAAATGCCGGGAGCAAGGGGCTAGTAACCCCTTCTCCTGTATAAATTACTAAATTTAAAGAGAGAAACTTTCATTTTTCTTTCTGGGCCACCCTGCCTTGGTGGGATACGGCCGGTTTGTTGAAAAAAAAAAATGAAAGTGAAATATCGTGAGTATTCATAGTCAGCATAATTTTGGCCCTGACTTTACAGCTATACATTTTATTCATGTGACAACATTCTATCACTTTCCCTTAACTTAAGTGGGTGAAAAATTAAAAAATCTGACTTATGTTGAAGAAACTATGAAATACACATTGCATTCTTGGTCAACTGGGAATCTGTAATAGGAAAGCATATGGAAGATGCAGCAAGGCAGAGGAGAAAATAAAGATGGAAATATCTGATGATAGTTTGGACATAGTACAGGGGTTTAGAGCAAGTGGTAAACCACCATTACTGATATGTTAAGTAAAAGAGTACAGCACAGTTCATATAAGAAAGCACCAGCTAGAAGGGAATGCACCAGTGGTAAAACTAATTTTTTGAGTACTGTAGCCACCAGTTACAATTCATATGTATATAAACTAAGATGCACATGCAATTAAAAAAATCATTAGCTTTTAGTATTAATTTTCATATTCCACACACAAACTAACTCATGTTTAGTCAAAGTTAGATCAAATTTAATTGGTATTTGTATAGAAAAAGATTCGTCGATCTGACACAGTTACTCTTGTCTTATGTCATTCAAACATTTCTGAAAACTAAGTTAACTTTTCCATAATACAAGTGATTAGCATTAAGATGCTTTCCTTTTACCTAGTTTCCAGTTCTGAAAGTTAGAACTAACAAATGATGAAACTCATGAAGGGATGAACAAGGAAACACAATAATAGAGTAAATTATGTCAGACTCATGGCTGAGGAGCAAACACACTCCAAATGTAATTAGCAGTGGAATCAGTAATACATGGACAGGCCTTCAGTAGGTTAGCAGACTGCATGTAAAAAGTTAATAAGAACACAGAACACTCAAAAGTATGCACAAATTATGCCAGGATTTAGCATAAGCAAGCTCCTCAGGTACTGTTTCAGTACTGGAGTGCGCCACACATCAGACGCTTACCCTATAGATAAAAATCTATACAGCTGTGGCTCATACTTGAACTTGCAAGGTTGAGGCCAAGGAATGTCATCGACCTGAACCACAGTCAGGGTTTGGAATTCATCTTCCATCACCTTTTGGTCCCATATGAATTAATATTAAAAATTCATTGAATCTACTGTTCACTTTAGCTGGATTTCAATAATCTAGATTGCACCATCTTTTTTTTTTCTTTTACTTATTGATCATGAATCTGAACCTGGTGGATAACCCTCTGAGTCACTGTCCACACTGTCAGTGAGAATATCACTGCTACTATCTTCCAAATCACTGTCACTGAGCACTAAATTAAGATTTTGAGAGACCAAAGTTTTTTCAATGGGTGGAAAAAGTTCATCAACTACTGTGCTTAGTTGAATATAACTGGAAAGACAAACAGCAAGAAGTTAACACCAATATCACAGTTATGCTACTGTACTAGCATGCACCTCAAATATGTAATTGTACTGTATATCAACAGTGTACAGTATGGAAAATGAGAAACCCACTTGGAGACAGACAATACAAGTAATAAAGAGGGAAGTGTATATTTTGGCCTCTAACTGAGGTCCTTGTGAGCAGAGGGCTCAGTTGAAGGACAAAATATACAGCTTCCAGTATTAATACTTTTATTTCTCTCTCCAAGTGGCTTGCACTGTATCTACTGACTAATGTTCATATATTACCAACTTTGCAGTGCATAGCATATACAGTATAAACTAGAAAATGCACATCAGTGTACAGTGTATGCACACAAAATGGATGTCCACAAAAAATGCATGTGCTTATGTACACTGTTCACTGTTGCTGCACACTGTTGAAGCATGATGTTCCAGATAAAATGGTTAAAATTAAATAAATTTAATTTATAATATAAAATATCAGTGAAAATTTGATATGCACACATGAATATGCAAGTTTTCATTAAATGAAATAGGGTGACAGTTATGTTAAAACTTTTAAAGTAAACACTATGCACTGAAAAAAAACAATGCTTAAAAATGTTCAAACTTTTACTTAATTTAAGAGCAGGCAAAGAGGAATGCATGCATTATAACTCTTACTAGACTAACTGAAATGAGACTAGTCTTTAGTAAAACGTTTACAGAAATACAACTAAGAACACTGCCACTATTTATATTTCATAATTTTTTCTAGTTAAAGAATAAAATTGAGTTACTTTAGGTTTCTAAAATAATGTATAAGAATTAGGAAAGGCTTAATTTTTGTATTAGGAAGCTATTCATATGATAAGAACATAGATATTAGTAATGGTTTAACTGAAATGTGTTACAATATGCCTAGAATGTATATAGAAGGCAAGATTAAGAACTAAAGTTAATAAAAAAAAAATTTAAACTATGATGTTTCCACAGTATTAGTCTGAACCACAAGTAAAAGTCAAACACAACTCATTAACAAGGGCAAGAAAAGGCAGGTAAAAACAATATTAGAACTCAATAAGGCAAAAGAAATCTTCCATTTCCCAAACATTTCCCCCCAAAATATTCTTAACCATGTACATATAGGCTAGTCGCTTCAATGGAAACACACCGTAGAGTTAAGAACAAGCAATGTAACAACGTGCAAGTGAAAAAGAAATTGATAAAGAAACAAAACTTACGAGGACTGGAATGTTTGTGTTAATTCATGTTTCAGTTCTCCACGATGATTGATTGTGAAGATACGAGAAATTGGAATCCCCACTGCACGGTATGCCCAAACATCCTGGAAAAGATAATTAAATTTTGGATTTGGAAAGTATGCACAGAAGTATTGGTTAGGCAATGGAGTTGTACACAAGCAGAACTGCCATGTAGCATCACTGAAGCATACTTTGTGTAGCTCTAAAAAAAATAGGCTGGACAAGTACATGAGTGAAGGTGGTTGGGTGCAGGTAAAACCTACCTAAGATGGCACTGTCTTGTCTTCTTGTCTGCAGCTATGTATGTTCTAAACTTCCTTAGAGATCTGCTAGTTTAGAGACCAGCCTACTATTATGTGCTTAATGAAGTTGGGCAAGTTGGGACCATGTTGGCAATGAAAACACTTACTGCTTTTCCTCATATATGCTTGTATAACTTGTAAACCATAACTCATTTTTTCAATAATTTGCTATTTATTTTTTTTTTCAATATTCTTAAGTCATGGGCAAAAAAAAGCTGTTTGCTATGAGGTGAGATATTTCTCCTTATATGCTTAAGAGCCTCATTTCATTGCTTTATTGGGACAAAAACCATCATGAACAGAAAAGAAAGCCAGCAGAAAAGTTTTTGCTTAGTCCAGGCTGGCTTCACCAGTTGAAAGTGAACAGTGAGCTGCATAACAAAATTCATTGAGGAAAGTGCATCTACTGACCATGTTGCTGCCAGGAATTTCCCTGTATAGTTGGGGGTAATTATTTCTGAGCAAGTGTTTAATGCTGTTGGGACAGATACATTTTTGAAGAAGTTATCTAGAATTTGCCCTAGGTAGTAGGTTGGTAAACAGCAACCGCCCAGGGAAGTACTACCGTCCTGCCAAGTGAGTGTAAAACGAAAGCCTGTAATTGTTTTACATGATGGTAGGATTGCTGGTGTCCTTTTTTCTGTCTCATGAACATGCAAGATTTCAGGTACGTCTTGCTACTTCTACTTACACTTAGGTCACACTACACATACATGTACAAGCGTATATATACATACCCCTCTGGGTTTTCTTCTATTTTCTTTCTAGTTCTTGTTCTTATTTATTTCCCCTTATCTCCATGGGGAAATGGAACAGAATTCTTCCTCCGTACGCCATGCGTGTTGTAAGAGGCAAGTAAGAGGCAACTAAAATGCCGGGAGCAAGGGGCTAGTAACCCTTTCTCCAGTATATATTACTAAATGTAAAAGGAGAAACTTTCGTTTTTCCTTTTGGGCCACCCCGCCTCGGTGGGATACGGCCAATGTGTTGAAAGAAAGATCTAGAATTTGCCCTAGGTAGTAGGTTGGAAAACAGCAACTGCCCAGGAGGTACTACTGTCCTGCCAAGTGAGTGTAAAATGAAAACCTGTAATTGTTTTACATGATGGTAGGATTGCTGGTGTCTTTTGTCTGTCTCATAAACATGCAAGATTTCAGGTATGTCTTGCTACTTCTACTTGCACTTAGGTCACACTACACATACATGTTCAAGCATATATATACACACCCCTCTGGGTATTCTAGTTCTTGTTCTTGTTTATTTCCTCTTATCTCCATGGGGAAGTGGAACAGAATTCTTCCTCCGTAAGCCATGCATGTTGTAAGAGGCGACTAAAATGCCGGGAGCAAGGGGCTAGTAACCCCTTCTCCCGTATAAATTACTAAATTTAAAAGAGAAACTTTCGGTTTTCTTTTTGGGCCACCCTGCCTTGGTGGGATACAGCCGGTGTGTTGAAAGAAAGAAAGAAAGATCTAGAATTTGCATTAGCTCAGTAGGGCCATAGCAACTCCTGCCACTGACATCAAGGTAACTACCAAATTTATGATACAGCAGGAAATATTTTACATAATATTTTTTTGCTACAAGTAGTCACACTGCTTGATTTTATTGGGTTATCTTAGGTTAAATCTACATAATGTACTTATTACATGCCCATAACATCTATATGTCCTCAAGATATTTCTAGACCAAAAGACAATGACATCTATATTGTAACACATAAAAACTTTATTTTTTAGTTAATAAGAACTTGACCCTAATTCCCAGCATGTTACTTGCACCATATGTCATAATTTCATAAGCAAGGTAGTCTTCAGGAGCTTAATACATGATAACTGTAAGAGTCCACTGTATCTACTGGCAGCTACATAATGCTATGCTCATTAGTGTCCTGCCAGCCTTAGTTATCCAGCCTTAGTTATCAGATTTATCTTTCATTCTTTACAAAAGCTGTTGCACACAACTACCTCATATAAATCATTCCACGTGTTAACTACTTGGTTCATAAAGAAATACAACCCACTATTTTTTTTGTACACTGCATTCTACATAACTGAAGATTTTGTTTCCTGTCTTTATCCAATGGTTTTCAATCTTTCTTCATAATTATTCTCTTAGTTATGAAATAATTTTGTTACAAGTTTAAGTTTTATTCTTCATTGAGCAACACACTATAGGTGCCTATTCAAATTTATAAATCTAAGCTGTGAAAAATTTCTTAAACTTTAATCTCTACTTCGAAATATCTTCCGGGAAAACTATTATTACTCTTCTTGTTGTTGGGGTCATTCAGCATCTGGGAAATGGGAGATAATCAAGCTTAATTCAAGGAAGGGAAGACTACCTCTAATTTCTGGGATCAAGAGCCCTTCAACATCCATGCCCCCTCTGGAAGGGTAAAAAAAAAAAAAAAAATATATATATATATAAATATAATATACAGTGGACCCCCGCATACCGATTTTAATCCGTGCAAGAGGGGTCATTGTTATGCGAAATAATCGGTATGCGAATGAATTTTCCCCATAAGAAATAATGGAAATCAAATTAATCCGTGCAAGACACCCAAAAGTATGAAAAAAAAATTTTTTTACCACATGAAATGTTAATTTTAATACACACAAACTGAAAAAGGCATGCACACTTACATGACACTTACTTTTATTGAAGATCTGGTGATGATTGATGGGATGGGAGGAGGGGAGAGAGAGTGTTAGTGTTTAGAAGGGGAATCCCCTTCCATTAAGACTTGAGGTGTCGAGTCCTTTTCTGGGGTTACTTCCCTTCTTCTTTTAATGCCACTAGGACCAGCTTCAGAGTCACTGGACTTCTTTCGCACAACATATCTGTCCATAGTGGCCTGTACCTCTCGTTCCTTTATGACTTCCCTAAAGTGTTTCACAACATTGTCAGTGTACAGGTTGCCAACACGGCTTGCAATAGCTGTGTGAGGGTGATTTTCATCAAAAAAGGTTTGCACTTCAAGCCACTTTGCACACATTTCCTTAATCTTTGTAGTAGGCAACTTCTTCAATTTCTCTCTCCCCTCCTCTGAACCAGTTTCCTCAGGTCTGGCCTCTTGCTGTTGAAGTTGATCTATCAGCTCATCAGTGGTTAGTTCTTCATTGTCCTCCTCCACCAACTCTTCCACATCCTCCCCACTAACCTCCAACCCCAAGGACTTTCCCAATGCCACAATGGATTCCTCAACTGGCTAATCCTCTCAGGGTTAGCCTCAAACCCTTCAAAATCCCTTTTGTCTACACATTCTGGCCACAGTTTCTTCCAAGCAGAGTTCAAGGTCTTCTTAGTCACTCCCTCCCAAGCCTTACCTATAAGGTTTACACAATTGAGGATATTAAAGTGCTCTCTCCAAAACTCTCTTAGAGTCAGTTGAGTTTCTGAGGTCACTACAAAGCACCTTTCAAACAGAGCTTTTGTGTACAGTTTTTTGAAGTTTGCAATAACCTGCTGGTCCATGGGCTGCAGGAGAGGAGTGGTATTAGGAGGCAAAAACTTGATGTTAATGAATTTCATGTCCCCATAAAGTCGCTCTGCCACGTCTGTAGGATGACCAGGGGCATTGTCTAACACCAGGAGGCACTTAAGTTCTAATTTCTTTTCAGTTAGGTAATCTTTCACATTGGGGGCAAATGCATGGTGTAACCAGTCATAGAAAAAGTCCCTAGTGACCCATGCCTTACTGTTTGCCCTCCACAGCACACACAAATTCTCCTTGAGGACATTCTTTTGCCTGAACGCTCTGGGAGTTTCCGAGTGATACACTAATAAAGGCTTAACTTTGCAATCACCAGTAGCATTGGAACACATCAACAAAGTAAGCCTGTCTTTCATAGGCTTATGTCCTGGGAGTGCCTTTTCCTCCTGAGTAATGTAGGTCCTGCTTGGCATTTTCTTCCAAAACAGGCCTGTTTCATCACAATTAAACACTTGTTCAGGTTTCAGTCCTTCAGTCTCTATGTACTCCTTGAATTCATGCACATATTTTTCAGCCGCTTTGTGGTCCGAACTGGCAGCCTCACCATGCCTTATCACACTATGTATGCCACTATGCTTCTTAAATCTCTCAAACCAACCTTTGCTGGCCTTAAATTCACTCACATCAGCACTAGTTGCAGACATTTTTTTAATTAAATCCTCATGCAACTTCCTAGCCTTTTCGCTTATGATCGCTTGAGAGACGCTATCTCCTGCTAGCTGTTTTTCATTTATCCACACCAATAAGAGTCTCTCAACATCTTCCATCACTTGCGATCTTTGTTTCGAAAACACAGTTAAACCTTTGGCAAGAACAGCTTCCTTGATTGCCTTTCTGGTGCCCACAATAGTAGCGATGGTTGACTGGGGTTTCTTGTACAACCTGACCAGGTCGGCGATACGCACTCCACTTTCATACTTATCAATGATCTCTTTCTACATCTCTATTGGAATTCTCACCCTTATTGCTGTAGGGTTGGCACTAGAAGTGTACGGTAGGGTTATAATTGAAAGAATTAGAGGTAAGACAGAATGTAGGATTGCGGATGAGCAAGGAGGTTTCAGAGTGGGTAGGGGGTGTGTAGATCAAGTGTTTACATTGAAGCATATATGTGAACAGTATTTAGATAAAGGTAGGGAAGTTTTTATTGCATTTATGGATTTAGAAAAGGCATATGATAGAGTGGATAGTGGAGCAATGTGGCAGATGTTGCAAGTATATGGAATAGGTGGTAAGTTATTAAATGCTGTAAAGAGTTTTTATGAGGATAGTGAGGCTCAGGTTAGGGTGTGTAGAAGAGAGAGAGAATACTTCCCGGTAAAAGTAGGTCTTAGACAGGGATGTGTAATGTCACCATGGTTGTTTAATTTATAGATGGGGTTGTAAAGGAAGTAAATGCTAGGGTATTCGGGAGAGGGGTGGGATTAAATTTTGGGGAATCAAATTCAAAATGGGAATTGACACAGTTACTTTTTGCTGATGATACTGTGCTTATGGGAGATTCTAAAGAAAAATTTGCTAAGGTTAGTGGATGAGTTTGGGAATGTGTGTAAAGGTAGAAAGTTGAAAGTGAACATAGAAAAGAGTAAGGTGATGAGTGTATCAAATGATTTAGATAAAGAAAAATTGGATATCAAATTGGGGAGGAGGAGTATGGAAGAAGTGAATGTTTTCAGATACTTGGGAGTTGACGTGTCGATGGATGGATTTATGAAGGATGAGGTTAATCATAGAATTGATGAGGGAAAAAAGGTGAGTGGTGCATTGAGGTATATGTGGAGTCAAAAAACGTTATCTATGGAGGCAAAGAAGGGAATGTATGAAAGTATAGTAGTACCAACACTCTTATATGGATGTGAAGCTTGGGTGGTAAATGCAGCAGTGAGGAGACGGTTGGAGGCAGTGGAGATGTCCTGTCTAAGGGCAATGTGTGGTGTAAATATTATGCAGAAAATTCGGAGTGTGGAAATTAGGAGAAGGTGTGTAGTTAATAAAAGTATTAGTCAGAGGGCAGAAGAGGGGTTGTTGAGGTGGTTTGGTTTTTTTAAAGAGAATGGATCAAAGTAGAATGACATGGAAAGCATATAAATCTATAGGGGAAGGAAGGAGGGGTAGGGGTCGTCCTCGAAAGGGTTGGAAAGAGGGGGTAAAGGAGGTTTTGTGGGCAAGGGGCTTGGACTTCCAGCAAGCGTGCATGAGCGTGTTAGATAGGAGTGAATGGAGACGAATGGTACTTGGGACCTGACGATCTGTTGGAGTGTGAGCAGGGTAATATTTAGTGAAGGGATTCAGGGAAACCGGTTATTTTCATATAGTCGGACTTGAGTCCTGGAAATGGGAAGTACAATGCCTGCACTTTAAAGGAGGGGTTTGGGATATTGGCAGTTTAGAGGGATATGTTGTGTATCTTTATACGTATATGCTTCTAAACTGTTGTATTCTGAGCACCTCTGCAAAAGCAGTGATAATGTGTGAGTGTGGTGACAGTGTTGAATGATGATGAAAGTATTTTCTTTTTGGGGATTTTCTTCCTTTTTTGGGTCACCCTGCCTCGGTGGGAGACGGCCGGCTTGTTGAAAAAAAAAAATATATATATATATAATCAAGTATTTCATTAAAAATTTCCAAGGTTAACCCCATCCTTAAAAAATACCTATCAAATATTCATATACAGTGGAACCTCAGTTTTCGTCATTAATTCATTCCAGAAAGTCTGACGAAAACCCAATTCAACGAAAACTGAAACAATATTTCCCATAAGAAATAATGTAAATCCAATTAATCTGTTCCAAACACCCAAAAGTATTAACAAAAAATACATATTATAGAGAATAACTATAGTTTTACATACAGAAAACAATGAGAAATAAATATAAAGGACTAATGAAATGGATAAATGAACATTTTAACATCACTTTTACCTTTATTGAAGACTCTTGTTGGCATATGGAAGACAGCAAGGAGAGGAGAGGGAGGAGAGGTTATCTCTAGCACAATCACTACCACCCTCTACCACAATCACTACCACCCTCTACCACAATCACTACCACCCTCTACCATCATCACAACCACTACAACCATCACTACCACCATCACAACCACTACCATCCTCTACCACCATCACTACTACCCTCTACCACCATCAAGACTGCCCTCTACCACCATCACTACCACCCTCTACCAATGAGAAACAAAGCCAGACTGACTCAGAACACGTGGGATGCTTTGTGTGGGCGTGGGCGGACACGTTCGGTACGGTGGACCACTGTCAACTCGACGAAAACTGAGGTGATGAATGAAAACTGGGACAAAATTTTGACAAAAGAAGTCGTTGAAAACCGAATTCGACGAAAACCGAGGTTCCACTGTACAGGCGGGTCCTGCTTGTACAGCAGGTTAGGTTCTGGGCTACTGCTGTAAAGCAAAAATTGTTGTAAAGTGAAACACAGCCTTTTTTCACTTTCAAATGCATATGAAAGCCAGCTAACTTGCTTACACTATCATATATTAACTGAGCAACAGAGCTAGGCCTAAAAAATGCATATACAGTACACACATTGCTTACCTTAAAATATTTTTGTCCTTAGCTTATAGTGAGTGGTAAATATATTTATTGTAGGAAGTTTGAATATATGAAGAATGGGTAAAATTGAAAACCGCTGCATTAGTGAAATGCTGTAAAGCAAAGCACTGTAAAGTAGGGCCCTTCTGAAGAAAGATTTTTGGTTATCACATCTTAAAAAAAAAAATGATGATGATTCTCCTTACATTGATTTTGTTTCCATAACCAGAGTAAAAGGGATTTCTATCCACAGGGTAGAGTGCTTTAATATCCCTTAAGCAGGATTTCTTAAACTCTTCAGGTTTCTTCTCAATCACTTCACGATGGAAAGCTTGTATTAATGAGGTGGGATTCAACAGTAAAGGTCCATCAGGTAATGAAAGGTCTCCCTGCTTAATGGACCTCAGGTAGTCTCTGGTAATGCGTGCTTGTCCTGAAAAAATACACAATATATTCTAAGTGACCAACCATCTAATATGCTGGAGGAGTCTCCTGCCAAGGCAAGGTGACCATTGTTCATCACCATCAACTGTGCAATCACTGTCTTTCTGAAGTATGATGACATCACAATTAGATTGCCCTCTGACTGCAACATCCTCACAGTGCAGGCACTGCCCTTCCCACTTCTAGAACTTGAGTCTGGTTACCAGTTTTTCTGAAATTCTCCATAAAGGTCATCTTGCTTGGGTTCCAAAAGAACATCCATTAAAAACCATTTGTCTCCATTCACTCTGATCTAAAACTCACACAAGCCTGCTGGATGCTTAAGTCCCTAAAACTAAGTCTCTTTTACTCCTCCCTCCAACTGTTTCTGAGATGACACTTTTATGAAATAGTATATATTAGATTCATATTTTGGGAGAAAGAAGTTGTGTGTGCAAGGGGCTTGGATATCCAGCAGGCATGTGTGAGCATATTAGAGTGGAGACGAATGACTTCTGGGACCTGACAACCTGTTGGAGTATGAGCAAGTTATCATTTTAAGAAGGGATTTAGAGAAACCGGTTAGCCGGACTCGAGACCAGGAGGTGGGAAGTACAGTACCTGCACTCTAAAGGAGGGGTAAGAGATATTTACCATTTGGAAGGATGATCTGAACTGTTGGGTCATACAATGCCTAGGAAATAGAATGTAATCAGGTTTGATCAAAGGAAGCAATAGAGTATCTCCCAATCCTTTGATCAAGAGCTATTAAATTTAGCTAGCACCGAAAAATTTTGCCTTTATAAAACAGAATATATTTTTCTTACTTATATGAAATGATCCACTCTGTTACATCTTTTTATTAGTATATTTGAACTGTAAAAGTGGCTTACCTATAGCCCTGGCTGAGAGGTAGAGGAAATGGTAACCATTGTTCTTAATCTTTGTGAAGAGCTGAGCTACACCACTCTGAGCCCAATCTTTGCCCAGAATTGGTAAAAGGTGACCCAGAACATCAGACTTTGTTATGGTGCCATCAATGTCAGACACGACAATCTTGTCGTCATAGTTCCACAAGAATATATGACACTTGCATCGAGTTGTTCCCTGGTAAGCTGTTGTAACTGAGAAGAGTGCTTCATTGCTTCCCTCACGCAGATTAAGTTTGGCCTGTTAGGGAATTTTAAAGACAGCAAATTTTTTATCAGATTTCCAAGCCTTATGAAGGCTAGGCACCTAAACAATTGCAAATTGATTAAACAAGATTCTTTTCAAAGACAACACTAAATAAATTATTGTATAGAGAAAAGCTTTAATTGTGATATTTGCACACTTTTGGAAAAACAGCTATTGAATGAATGATGGTGAATGTATTTCTTTTTTAGGGTCAACCTAAGTATTTAAAAAATATTTGTTCAAAATAAACCATACCACGGGTGGGGTTTGAACCCGCGGTAAGAGTGTCTCAAAACTCCAGACCGTCGCGTTAGCCACTGGGCCAGCTAGCTTCAATAAGATACATCCAACTAGGTATATTTCTACACCATAGGAAGGTTAGCATAGGCACCACTGTGTCCACAAATGCAGGTTTTTACAGACGAATCTCCCGCTAACATGGGCATGATGAACTCTAGCTCAAGTCCCCTCAAAGCCGTCAATATGACTCACGAAATCATAACGACATGATTGCAAACAAACCATAACACGGGTGGGGTTTGAACCCATGGTAAGAGTGTCTCAAAACTCCAGACCGTCGTGTTAGCCACAGTTTGTTTGCAATCGTGTCATTACGATTTCCTGAGTCATGTTGACAGCTTTGAGGGGACTTGAGCTAGAGTTCGTCACAGCCATGCTAGCAGGAGATTCGTCTGTAAAAACTTGCATTTGTGGATACAGTGGTGCCTAAGCTAACATTCCTATGGTGTAGAAATATACTTAGTTGGACTCTCTTACCGCAGGTTCAAACCCCACCCGTGGTATGGTTTGTTTGCAATTGTGTCGTTATGATTTCGTGAGTCTTGTTCAAAATATTTTTGCAAAAGGATACATGCTGCAGTGAATGGTACATTTTTCATTTTTTTTTTTTGTTATGATGTAAAGTAAATTGGCTTGTCTCTTACAGGGTGGGAATTATGGGGTAGAGGATTAGAGAAAATATTTTTACAAGTTGTTGAATGTAGATGATGAAAGAGGAAGAAATCTCATGCATGGGTCAAAATGTAATTAGATTTACCAGGAGAGAAGACCCATAAATGATTATGAAGACTAACACAGTCAGTGCATCAAGATGATGAGGCAGCAGGATTGGTGGATGGATATATGGATATGGATATAGATTATATATATATATACACACACAAAAGGTACCAGATTTTTATCAAGAGTAATTGGAAAAAGCATGGTACAATATTTGAATGGAATTCAAGAGAAGTTAGTAAGTGCTACAATCACTAATAAACTTACAATCTGATCAGATGATAATCTTAAGCTCTTCTTAAATCTTTCTCCATGGAAACTTCCATCTTTTCTATCCTCTAGGTCCTCTGACTCAGAAGAATCTGTTCCAATTTTGCAGTTATGAAGTCCTTTCTTTCTTGGAGTTCCAGGTAAGCTTGTCTGAGTCTCAGCAGCAGTCACTTCTATGAGGTTGGAATCATGAATGCTTGAAGTGCCATCTGTTGGTGAAGCCGAACTTCCTTGACGGAGCTTAAAAGAGAATTGGCAAATCTGTAGTAGAGAGTTACATCCATACCTAGTCTAGCAATTTTATAATTTAAGATGTATTTTTCCTCAATAGATTAATAAAACAGCAATGATGGGAGAAATAGAAAAGACTGATAGAATTACAAATGTTCAGTGCATGCAATACGACACAAATACCTCAAGATTGCAAAATCTTGGGAGAAAAGAAGATTCTGCTTTCATAGGTGGAGAGTCTGGAATTAGCAGGAAATGATCAGAGATGAATTGGAGTCACAAAAGGCTGCCTAACACTGTGTTGAGTAGGATAAAGAAATTAGCCAAAGATAAAAAAAATATTTATACATTACCATTATTTATCTTACACCACAGCCGACAATAAAACATTTCAAAATCTATATTATACAAGATTTATGTTTAATAAATGAGAATGATATTAGTCTAAAATTAAAAAAAAAAAAGTTTTAGCATGCTAATTTTCTTAAAAACTAAGAAATTAATATCAATATTTTACCTTAACTCCAGATTAAGCATCAGTTAATGTGTTCTGACATCTGTAATAATACTATACTCAAAGATGTTACTCTTGCAATTCATCCCTTTTAATTTTCTAAAAAAAAATTTCTTTACAAATCATTTAATAAAAAAATTATTCCTACCTCTATACTGCCCTGAGATGCTACCCTCTTGTCAGAGTCATTCTTCCCTTCTTTATTGCTCTCTAAATCTTCAGTCTGGTTATTACGTCTCCAAGATGAAAACCAAGAGTATCCCCTTGATTCTGAACGTTTTCGTATCTCCTTCTTTGGCATGTGCTCCTTGTTGAGATTATCTGCTAGTTTCTGAAAAAAAAAGGAAAAAAATATATGTAATAAAAATATAAACAGGGTTTCAATGTTGTAGTGGAGGGAAGGTGGGGTAGGGGGTCACCACAGGAATGGATGGAGGGAGGGGGCAGAGGAGGTTTTGTGTGAAAGGGGCTTGGTCATCCAGCAGGAAGGTGTGAACGTGTTAGATAGGAGTAGCGGCAAATAGTTTTTGGGACCTGCCAAACTGTTGAAGTGTGAGTAAGGTAACATTTTGTGAAGGGATTCAGGAAAACCAGTTAGCCAGACTTGAGTCCTGGAAGTGGGAAGTACAGTGCCTGCACTCTAAAGGAGGGATGGGGATATCTGGAGTCCAAAAGTGCATCTGAGCACTGAGTGAATGATGGTGAAAGTGTTTCTTTTTCAAGGCATTATCTCGGTGGGAGACAGCCAGTGTGAAAAAAAAATTACTGTATTATTATTACTATGAAAAGAACCATTTATTCTACAATAGCATATTTTATGAAGAAATAAAATCACACTCCTGACACATTTCTCCGCTTAACAAAAAATTTTTCTCCATACCTGTGGGATTGGTCGTTGGAACAGTACTAGGGAGAGAATCTGAGGAGCAGCAGTAGTCCAGTTGAGGTATTTGCCGCCAAACCTTATTACAAGGTCAGGATTATCTAGGATTTGTAGATTCTCACAGAAATCATCATAAGTCACTAGGCTTTGCAGGAAGAGGCTCTCAGGAAACTTTCCCTCATACTCATTAAGACGTCCACAAAGAGAGAAAGCGATATCGTCGTAGCCCCTAAACAGAAAAATAGAACTGTACTAGAAAATTACTAATTTAAAATGTAATATCCTTCTTAATAGGAAAATGTGTGAAAATCCCTTTTGTGGAGATAAACCCTTCTTGCAAATGTAAACATTCAAGTAGACAGGATTAGGAAGCAAGTCTTTTATTAACTGACAATTAATAAAAGGCCTACTTCCTAATCCTAACCAATGTATCAACTGATACAATGGTTAACAGTACAAGTTTTAATTTTCTATTCATCTCATAAAATTGTAAAGCAGAACATAATGGAATTTCAACTAAACCATTAGTTGGTCAACTCACTACTGGACCCAGCATATTAAAATAATTGTCTCCAAAGCAGTATAGCCAAATATAAAAATAATTATTTTCAGTGAAACAATTTATGTAGTACCTTGCATTTAAAATACAAACTGTTTATCTGTATGAGTTGCAATTATAGTAATAAATCTGAGACATAAGGAAAATCTGCATAAAATAAAAGTGATCTTACTTATAATCAAATATAGGATGCCTAGAGTCTTCAAAATCTGAGTCACTGCATGTCTTGAGTCCACCAATTGCTCCTTCCACACTGTGAGGCGATTGTGGAAGTGAGGGCCCATTGCCAGATTCAGCATCTTCGTCTTTGAGGCCACCTGTAAAAATGGTACAACTGTAAGGTAAAGACAATGTGTAGTATATACCAGTTCTTACTACAGCATGCATCTTGTTTTGCCACAAAGTATAAAAAAGTGGGATAAACCTAATACTAGGTTACAGAACTTCAAACTTTATCCTATATACTCAGTGAGCTTTCATCTGGCAAATTATTAATATTAGTACTTCCCTTGTTGTCAAAAACTATTGTACCAGTAGATATTCCATTTTTTTTTTTGTACTAGGTACACTTGTAGATCTCAGCCTTGACTGATTTTAAAACAGACTCTTTCCTACAGTGGTAGGGTGACCCAAAAATGGAAAACATGTTCACCAGCATTCATTCCCTGGTTGTCCTTCCAGAAGTGTATGGACATCACCAATCAAATGATCAAACCTTCATAGTTATAACTTTGCTCACACTCCAACAGCACACAAAAATCTTGACCATCACCTGTCTTCATTTACCTTAACCTAAGCCTAATGCACTACTATTTTTTTTTTTTTTTTTTTTTTTTTAGTTTATCCACAACACCAATGACAGCACTTCCACTATCCACTCTATCATGTATCTTTTTCAAATTTACAGATGCCACAAACAGCTCCTTTCCCTTATCTAAGCATTGCTTACATGCATGCATTAATGCAAACACTATGCACACATTCCTTTTCATTCCAGATTCATCTTATTTCCCTGCAATTCTACTACGTATCAGTTTTTAACCTTAACTTGTTCCATAATTCTGCTATACACTTTACCCCATTCTCTTAAGATTAATTACGTATCTTTTCCTAGTTTTCTCTCTGGTTACAATTCCTCTTAAAAAAAAGAATTATTTTATGCATGCTCTTTTCTAATCCTTAGGCATATTCCCTTCTTTCATACATATATTAAACACATGCACCATTAAAAACTACATCATCATTTGCTTTCAATATCTTTCAACTTTGCCCATTCCTGCTGCTTTGCTCCTTTCCACCTGCTTGCTGCCTTGCATACTTCCTACATACTCATTTGTGGCTTATCACTCTTAACATATCCTATTCTTGCCTGCCTCATGCACAAAATCACTACTTCTATTTTGTCATCACCTAAATCTTAAAAATATTGTTTATCTCTCCAATACCTTGACTTGCCCATCCAGCAGCTAATCATTTTCACTCCAATTCCTTGAATAATAAACCCTTCACCAGCATTTGGGAAACTTCCTTGTAGGCACTAGAAGCTTTCCAATAGTTCCTCCAACTTTGTCAAAAAGATCATACAAAACAACTGCAGATGCACAATCTACTATTATAGCCAATTTCTCACATCCATCCATATTGAAGCTTAAAAAATATCTTGAGTATCTCTAATTCAGGACTGCAAATATGAAGTGCTCAAAGAAAACTTACATCACTTAATATCCAAACAAAAAACTCAAAGGTTTTTTGAGATAAATGAGAAACATGGAAACTAAATTATAATCCCAGTACTTGGGATCACTTTTAAATTTTGTTACAAAAATTAAAGGAAAAAGTTGAGCTAAATCTTTCCAATAACACCTATTTCTCTACCTCCAAATATCACTACTGTACCACACAGCATAATAGTTCTTTGAAAAAATGTAAAAATGTAAGACATCAAAAACACATTTGTGCATGATTTTACTGAGGGCCTATACAAAATGTCAATAATATAATTTATCATAAAGGATAGTTTATAAAAAGCTTAGATATTAAAAGCTTCAATGCTTTTCAGTTAAGCAAAAAAATTAATTACTCTGCAAAGTCAACAATATTAAGAGTTTTGCATTACTCTCTTAAACACTAAAATTTTCGCAGCAGCCTCTGTCATACAGTACCAGATGAGTAGGTGTTGTATCCCCGCTTTTCAGGAACCTTGAAGTTACGTGGAAAATACAAAGCAGCCACCTCTGGGTCAAGCTCATCCAAGTTGAGATCATCGAGATAAATGCCCTCACTCTCAGGGTTATGCCGAGCCTTCTTAGTGGCGCGCATGAAGCTAAACATACTGCCCAACACAGAGCGCTCATCATCTAGGGAGAACCACCACACATGCTACTACATCATACACCACAAGAGGAAAACATTAAAAAGAAAAAAAAAAGCAAATACACCCTAAACAAATTTCTGTATTGAATTTAGTTTAATTGCAGTCCAGTACAAACATTGGAACCTACAGCACATATAATATTTCAGTAATTACTACATACAGTACAGTATTTCAGTAATTACTACATATATATAGTACAGTATTTCAGTAATTACTACATATACAGTACAGTAATTCAGTAATTATTACATACAGTATATGCTGCATTTCACAATCTAGCACCACACAGGTAATTTATTTTACTACTTTCTAATATGTAGGCAACCTTCATTCTTTTCGTATCTACTTTTGATTGCCATTAAGTTACAAATTTTGCAGCCTTTTCATAATGAGCAGAATTTCTATGTACCTAGCAAGGAGATGATGATGATGATGATGATGATGATGTCTATATAGAACATATATCATATGTTCAATATTCCAGTAATTATCTACATTATCTATCCAATAATTTATGAAGAAATACAAACAATAAAACATTATATTTACATCATGGTTTTAATATAAAATTGTGTTTAAAGGGGATAAATTATGCTTTAGTAAAATCTGTAGACTTATCATTGAGCTAGTTCCCACAGATGTCAAATGAAGTGAGACGATTAAGAAAATAATGAATGTTGCCTTGAAAAAATGTATACAAGGGAAAGTGGAAGCTTACAAATCTGAAGATAGCCACTTGACAATTTAAGATAAATACACAGTCCTTTACAAGAGATACGAGGCACAATGAGATGGCATGATGACATTAATACTTTAACTGAAGTATGAAAGATTTTTTTTTTCCCAACAAGTTAGCCGTCTCCCACCGAGGCAGGGTGACCCAAAAAAGAAGGAAAATCCCCAAAAAGAAAATACTTTCATCATTCAACACTTTCACCTCACTCACACATAATCACTGTGCAGAGGCACCCAGATACAACAGTTTAGAAGCATATATGAAGATATATAACATACCCCTCCAAACTGCCAATATCCCAAACCCCTCCTTTAAAGTGCAGGCATTTTATTTCCCATATCCAGTACTCAAGTCTGGATATATAAAAATAACCGATTTCCCTGAATCCCTTCACAAAACATTACCCTGCTCACACTCCAACAGCTCGTCAGGTCCCAAAAACCATTCGTCTCCATTAACTCCTAACACGCTCACACATGCTTGTTGGAAGTTCAAGCCCCTTGCCCACAAAATCTTTACCTCCTCCTTCCAACCTTTCTGAGGACAACCCCTACCTCTCCTTCCTTCGCCTACAGATTTATACGCTCTCCGAGTCATTCTACTTTGATCCATTCTCTCTAAATGACCAAACCACCTCAACAACCCCTCTTCAGCCCTCTGACTAATACTTTTAGTAACTCCACACCTTCTCCAAATTTCTACACTCCGAATTCTCTGCATAATATTTGCATCACACACTGCCCTTAGACAGGACATCTCCACTGCCTGCAGCCGCCTCCTCGCTGCAGCATTTGCAACCCAAGCTTCACATTCATATAAGTGTTGGTACCACTACACTTTTGTACATTCCCTTCTTTGCCTCCATGGATAAATTAAATTTTTTTTAAATATACCGGCTGTCTCTTACCAATGTAAGGTGACCTTCTCCGAAAGAAAAGTAGTACATACATTCACCATCATAAATTCAATCATTGTCTTAACATTCATTAAACTTTTTCAGTCAGCTATTTCCCACACAAGGAAAGTGACCTAATGAGGGCACTACATTCACCATCACCTATCCCAAGATAGCATCCTAGGTTGCCTTCTCTTCCTCCTCAAAATCAATGACTTACTGAATATCACACAGCATCTTAAAATCTTTTTATTTTTACAGTTTCCTGATAATGTGAAAAATCATGAAATCACTTGGAAGTTCACTATTTATTCACAGTGGCTTTTCTGCCTACTTTAATTTTTACTCAAACCTTGCCTATGGAATATACACTTGGGATTCTACCTCACTTATTTATCTCAAACAAATTGCCACACAACAAAAGGCAAGCTATTAAAACCATCAAAAACACTAACTTCAGGAATACCTAATCCTATTAAACATAAATACCATATATACTTCTGTTCACTTCACATCTTCAAAACACTACACTAAGGCTGACCCTAGACACTTCCTGAAAAACTGTAGAACTTGCACGTATGATACTCGAAACAAATTCTTCTTGGTTATTACATTTAAAATGCATTCACCTTTAGTACGTGTTTTTCTGGCAATGTTCCTATTTTTTGAATATATACAATCTGATAAAGAAATGTGGCTTTTATAATTATCATGTTCATACGTTGAGAGTCCTATATTGGGCACCAGGAAAACCAGCCTATGGGGCCTCTCACATTTTACAATGTTTTTTCTTTGCTTTGGCTTCATTACAAGTATGTAACTTTTGGTGCATATTCTTTGGGTATAATGTGGAAAGTGTCCATTCGTTTGCTTAATCAACTTAACAATGCTTCTAAAAAACCATTATGTATTCCCAGTAAAATTCTCTCATTTGCTCTCCTTTCACACTCCCTCACCCCTTCTTTTTCACTCCACATACTCTGCCTTTTGTATACATACATTTTTTCACATGGCAAAAGCCTTTCGCATACGAACGTTTTCTCCCTTACTACCCTCTTTACCTCTATCATTTCACCAGTCATTCCTCTTCCCATCCTCACAAACACTTCTTTAACCACCAACCTCTGCTGTACACACTTGCAATACATTCTTAAATATACACCATACCTCCCTGACCTACTCATTACCCTCTCTTTACAGACCATCTTTCTTTCATTTTTTTTTTATTTTTACCTAGCCGACATATTTTAAGGCTATTTTGACCAGAGTTTAGAAGTGAGAAATTTAACACATCTCAAGATGCCACACATCAAGAACAATATTACTATCAAAATCTCACAGTAAAGACATAACCAACAGAGTTAAGAAGCATAATAATTTAGGTGGTACAAACATCCCAGAATAAAGTTAAATTAGAAACAAGAAATTTATTTGAAATGCTGACACCCAAGTTAGGTTAACACTACACAAAAACAAAACAATATTTTACACACACTTTACAATTACCACAAATGCTAAAAAAAATAACAGTTAATGTCATAATTTTCCAAAAGAATTGGCCCCAAATAAAAAAGCAAAAAGATAGAGGTATATTTACAGTTACAATACATTACATGGATAAAAGGGTGAGAAAATTCATGCAATTTATGCAAAGCCCATATTATGCAGAGCCTTTTTGAACAAGCCAAAAATAACAAATAGTATAATATAAAGACCTAAATTCCAGGAACTGGTTATTATATAATTTTGTTTTTTTTTCAACAAGTCAGCCATCTCCCAAAAAAACTCCTCATAAAAACTCTTTACAGCATTTAGTAACTTACCGCCTATTCCATACACTTGCAATATCTGCCACATTGCTCCCCTATCCACTCTATCATATGCCTTTTCTAAATCCATAAATGTAATAAATTCTTCCCTACCTTTATCTAAATACTGTTCACATATATGCTTCAATGTAAACACTTGATCTACACATCCCCTACCCACTCTAAAACCTCCTTGCTCATCCGCAATTCTACATTCTGTCTTGCCTCTAATTCTTTCAATAATAACCCTACCGTACACTTTTCCTGGTTATTTTTATTTTATTAACACACTGGCCGATTCCCACCAAGGCAGGGTGGCCCGAAAAAGAAAAACTTTCACCATCATTCACTCCATTACTGTCTTGCCAGAAGGGTGCTTTACACTACAGTTTTTAAACTGCAACATTAACACCCCTCCTTCAGAGTGCAGGCACTGTACTTCCCATCTCCAGGACTCAAGTCCGGCCTGCCGGTTTCCCTGAACCCCTTCATAAATGTTACTTTGCTCACACTCCAACAGCACGTCAAGTATTAAAAACCATTCGTCTCCATTCACTCCTATCAAACACGCTCACGCACGCCTGCTGGAAGTCCAAGCCCCTCGCACACAAAACCTCCTTTACCCCCTCCCTCCAACCTTTCCTAGGCCGACCCTACCCCGCCTTCCTTCCACTACAGACTGATACACTCTTGAAGTCATTCTGTTTTGCTCCATTCTCTCTACATGTCCAAACCACCTCAACAACCCTTCCTCAGCCCTCTGGACAACAGTTTTGGTAATCCCGCCACCTCCTCCTAACTTACAAACTACTACGAATTCTCTGCATTATATTCACACCACACATTGCCCTCAGACATGACATCTCCACTGCCTCCAGCCTTCTCCTTGCTGCAACATTCATCACCCATGCTTCACACCCATATAAGAGTGTTGGTAAAACTATACTCTCATACATTCCCCTCTTTGCCTCCAAGGACAAAGTTCTTTGTCTCCACAGACTCCTAAGTGCACCACTTACCCTTTTCCCCTCATCAATTCTATGATTCACCTCATCCTTCATAGACCCATCCGCTGACACGTCCACTCCCAAATATCTGAATACATTCACCTCCTTCATACTCTCTCCCTCCAATCTGATATCCAATCTTTCATCACCTAATCTTTTTATTATCCTCATAACCTTACTCTTTCCTGTATTCACTTTTAATTTTCTTCTTTTGCACACCCTACCAAATTCATCCACCAATCTCTGCAACTTCCCTTCAGAATCTCCCAAGAGCACAGTGTCATCAGCAAAGAGCAACTGTGACAACTCCCACTTTATGTGTGATTCTTTATCTTTTAACTCCACGCCTCTTGTCAAGACCCTCGCATTTACTTCTCTTACAACCCCATCTATAAATATATTAAACAACCACGGTGACATCACGCATCCTTGTCTAAGGCCTACTTTTACTGGGAAATAATTTTCCCCTCTTTCCTATGTACTCTAACTTGAGCCTCACTATCCTCGTAAAAACTCTTCACTGCTTTCAGTAACCTACCTCCTACACCATACACCTGCAACATCTGCCACATTGTCCCCTATCCACCCTGTCATACACCTTTTCCAAATCTATAAATGCCACAAAAGACCTCTTTAGCCTTATCTAAATACTGTTCACTTATATGTTTCACTGTAAACACCTGGTCCACACACCCCCTACCTTTCCTAAAGCCTCCTTGTTCATCTGCTATCCTATTCTCAGTCTTACTCTTAATTCTTTCAATAATAACTCTACCATACACTTTACCAGGTATACTCAA